AGATCCAGGTTGTTGCTGCTGCACCAGGACACCAGCCGGTCCACCTCCCTCCTGTAGGCAGACTCATCACCGTCGGAGATGAGCCCGATGAGGGTGGTGTCGTCCGCAAACTTGATCAGTTTCACGGACTGATGGCTAGAGGTGCAGCAGTTGGTGTACAGGGAGAAAAGCCAGGGGGAAAGGACACAGCCCTGGGGGGATCCGATGTTGATGGTCCGTGTGTCAGAGACAGTTGTTCCCAGCCTCACGTGCTGTCTCCGGTCCGTCAGGAAGTCAGTAATCCACCTGCAGAGGGAGCTGGGCACGTTGAGCTGGTACAGCTTGTCCTGGAGCAGACCCGGGAGGATGGAGTTGAAGGCAGAGCTGAAGTCCACGAACAGGATCCTGGCGTAGGTTCCTGGGGAGTCCAGATGCTGCAGGATGAAGTGGAGGGCCAGGTTGACTGCGTCGTCTACGGACCTGTTGGCTCTGTAGGCGAACTGCAGCGGGTCCAGGAGGGGGGCGGTGATGGATTTTAGGTGTTGCAGAACCAATCGCTCAAAGGACTTCATGACCACAGACGTCAGCACCACCGGCCTGTAGTCATTTAGTCCTGTGATCCTTGGTTTCTTCGGGACAGGAACAATGGTGGAGGATTTGAAGCAGCCCGGCACATGGCATGACTCCAAGGAGATGTTAAAAATGTCAGTGAAGACAGGAGACAGTTCGCTGGCACAGTGTTTCAGGGTGGAGGGAGAAACGCCGTCAGGGCCAGCAGCTTTACGGGTGTTCAGCTTCAGAAACTGTCTGTGCACGTCCTGCTCCAGGATGCAGAGGGCAGGGGGGGACAAGGGGTGGATTGAGGGGGCCTTTGATGGAGTGGCCTCAGTTGTGTTGGGGGAGGAGGGGGTGGCTGGAGAGACCAGAGAGGTGCTAACGGCTCTGGGACAGTCGAAACGGCAGTAGTGTGTATTCAGTCTTTCACACAGTGCCCGGTCATTCAGAGCTCGGGGGGCTTTGAGCTTGTAGTTGGTAATAGCCCTGAGGCCCCTCCACACTGTGGCAGAGTCGTTGGCAGAGAACTGCTGCTGGAGGCGATTTGCATACACAGATTTAGCCTTCCTCATCTCCCTGCTAAACCTGTATTTCACCTCTTTGTAGCTGTCTCTGTCCCCGCTCTTGCGTGCTGCCTCCTTCTCTCGTCGAATCTGGCCGAGCTTAGGTGTGAACCAGGGCTTGTCGTTTGCATAACGCACCCTGGTGCGCGTTGGTAGGATGCGCTCCTCATTGTACTGTATGTAAGAGGTCACAATGTCAGTGTACTCGTCCAGATTATCTGTAGCAGCCCTGAACACCTCCCAGTCTGTGGTTTCCAGACACGTGCGGAGCTCCTCCACAGCCTCACTGGTCCAGATCTTAGTTGTGCTAACTACAGGCTTAGCTAGCTTCAGTTTTTGTCTATATGTGGGTATGAGATGGACCATCACGTGATCTGATAGTCCGAGGGCGGCACGGGGGACGGCGCGATAGGCGTTGTTTGCTGTTGTGTAACAGTGATCCAAAGTGTTCTGCTCTCTGGTGGGGCATTTAATAAACTGTCTGTATTTGGGTAGCTCCTGACTCAGATTTACTTTGTTAAAGTCACCAAGCACAATAACAAGAGAGTCAGGAAAAGTCCGCTCCACATGTAAGACATGGTCCGACAGCGCGCGCTGAGCCTCACGTGCGTCAGCGGCGGGTGGGATGTATACAGCCGCCAGGATGAATGAAACAAACTCACGGGGAGAATAAAATGGTTTACAGTTAATGAAGAGATATTCCAGAGAAGGAGAGCAGTGTTGTGAGATCACCGTCACATCGGTGCTCCAGCTGTTGTTGATGTAGAAGCAGACTCCGCCGCCTTTTGTTTTTCCGGAGAGCTCCGCGCTGCGATCCGCACGGAGGAGTTGAAATCCCTCCAGGTGTAGCGCGCTGTCCGGGATCTGTCCGCTGAGCCATGTCTCCGTGAAGCACAAAACACAAGAGGAGGAAAGGTCTTTGTTCCTTCTCATGAGCAGCGCCAGCTCATCCATCTTGTTGCTGAGAGCTCGGACATTAGAAAGAAATACGCCAGGTAAAGGCGTGCGTGTCCCCCGTCTGCGAAGGCGCACAAGAGCTCCGGCACGTTTGCCTCTCTTACGGCGTCTTCCTCTCTTGGCCAGAAATAGGACCGAGTCCACGGCAGAAACTAAAAAAACTGGTAATAAATCCTTAGGAGTGGTAGCTCTAATGTTTAGAAGCTCTTCACGGGAGTAAGAGCATGCAGACGCACAATTAACTAACAAAAACAGACAAAACAGGGCGCACGAGAGGACCAGGGCGACCGTAGGTGGCGCCATCAGATCCCATCTTCAATTTTGCTCCGCTATTGGCACAGTTCATCCCCAGGCCAATACCGAGGGGAGGAACCAAAGCCAATCAATGGCCATTTCTACAGTTTTTTGGCGTTTCCATGTGGCCCCATGAGGCTAGCAATAAAGCAGTCAAGTCCCTGGTTCAAAAACCTCATTTTTTGTATTGTTGCAAAAAAGAACAGCTCTTGAAGATACAGTGACATAAAGGCTGTAAGTTTTACTGTCTGCTGTCGGTTTCTTCCTCTTTTTGAATTCTCTCATTAAGCATAAATGATGACTTATACCTTTAGTTTATTAAAAACCCAAGGTATTAATACTGTAGCAACAAAAACAGCAGAAAGGCATGCTGGTATTCTCCATTCTGTACTATACTGAAGGCCTTTGCACCATTATAAAGTTTAAAATACTTTTCTAATGAAAGTTCTTAACTCATATCTCTTTAAAACTAGTAGATACAATGCAAAACATTTTTTATAACTGTCTTGATGATTCAGTTATTTTTTTTTTTTTTTTTTTACCCCATCCCATAATCTGGCTTCTGCTCTGTGTCATACTTTTAAGGATACCTGCAGTTGCTAAAACATAATTTTAAAATCCTTTGAAACACTAGAGAAATTTGAGCCCTTTGTGCTCTCGCAACTTTTTTTTCTCTATTTTTTGATTGATGTGTACCCATAAGCAGGAAAACTGAAACTAAGAGAGCAAAAATTCACAGCCTCATATTATGGTTTCTACCTGATAATATATTTTGGTTCTCTTGTTGTCTACAGTTGGATACTTGCTTCAAGCATCCTTTCAAAGTGAAATATATAGACTGTACCACTGATGTCTACTGATTCATAACCAGCACATACATTAGATAAAGCAAACACTTTCATCATATTTCCATGTTGAGTTTATGCCCATTTCCTACATTACTTTTGAAATACTTAGATTTAAAAGCAATGTGGTAATTTAATTTGATATTTATTTAATTTAATTTTTTTAATTGAATAACTCTTTAAAATAAAGAATTTACCTTTTAAAATTGTAAATATTTTTAAATAATAAAAACGACAATGAAAGAACGCAAATATTATGCACGACTATCATGAGAAAATGTCAAAACACATGATTCGAGCAATTACAGTAGGTACTGTGCTATGGGTAGAACATCCCAAATAGTTAATTCAGTAATGCTATATTTGAAAAATTCTGGCAGTGGGCCTATGAGTATTATGTAGATTTCAAATTTTCTAGAAATTATCACATAATACATGTTTGACTGAAAACATTCAACAAAAATTATGAAAACTTCATCCCTGCCCTTATTTGACTTTTTGTAGATGTCTGACATTTGGTGCTGAAACCAAATGTTTCAGCATTGGTTGGGGTTATTCGTTGATTTCTCACTGTAGCGGGGACCATTTATTTTAGTTTTACTTCCAGACCTTCTATTTCACTGCTTGCTAAGCGGCTGTGGGGAGATCTTCAAGCCACATGGTAAAAAAAATGCATCAGAAAAGATCTCATACTGCACCTTTAAGTGCAGTTATATGATTTCCATGAAACTTAAAAATAAAAATAAAAAATTCATAGAAAAGTGGTAAAACTAAAATAGAAAACCTATCATTTTCCTTAGAAATCGTTGTATAACCACTCTTATATCTGACCTACAGCTTCCTCCGCTGCCAACCAAAGCGTTTTCTATTGCAGCTCTTTGATCACTGGGGTCTTTTCTTCCCAGTTAATGTTGTTCGTAACATTTTTTTCCAAATCTGCTCCCAATCCAAAGGAACTTTATTGCAGAAACGTACTTTAATCCATCCTTATATGGAGCTTTATTAAGGCTGTACAACATGATGATGATGTGGATGTATGACAGCCAAGCCTCTAAAAATAACTAGTAAATACAATTAAAATGACAATAAGGGTGAAGGCCAATCAGTCCCTGTAACAAAAACTGGAAAATTAGTTTATCAGTGTGGTAAATGGAGAAAAATAACAAAAGATGACTTAATGGGTATTCCATATAGGTTCGGTAAGATATGAACTCAATGCATATAGAGACATCTAAGATACATAATAGGTTATGGCTACCTGCAGATTATCTGGTTTATGTATTCTGCGCATGTCTAAAGACCTTTAACCTATCTGAAAAGTTAAAGACTAACCTCACATCTGTTTTATCGAACCAAGCAATTCTTTAGACTGCTTTGCAGTGATAAACATGCTGAGTCTTAAAAGGTCAGCAGCAAATGGAGCTCAGGGTAAAAAGCAGAAAAAGAGGTTTGCTTGTTTCTTTGTAGTGGAGGTCTGAAGAGAGGTAAAACTGAAAGGTTTTAGCAGAGGGCATGACCTTGGATTTGGTGGTATTACTGTACGACTGTTAAACACAACCTCTGATGTCGAGGATATTGTTCCATGAGTTAGCACTGACTAACAAGGCTGACAAGCCTAGACAAGAGAGGGAGAGGAAAGGAGGGGGAGATCTAATGAGATAGGGGAGAGACAGAGCTGTGCGACAGCTTAGAGGTGAACATGTACAGTGATGAGTTCCCGTGTCTGATGGAGTGTGAAATTACGGTTAGTCTATCTAGTTGCTGTGTTGTGAAATTTAGCAGCAAAGTGAACAGCTGTATAACTGACCTCCTCCCAGCCTCTGCCGTTGGTGTAGGAAATGACATCAATCAGGGGATTGGACAGGTACCCATCGCTGTTGAAGGAATAATCTCGTCCACTGAGGGAAATGTTGGTGAAATACCTGTGATGTAATTTAGGGAACAGAAAAGAAACATGTGGCTTCATTAAATACAGTCTGGAAATGATTTGGTGCTATGGCAGAAACAGAGACAATAGCACAAACTTAAAAACATCCTACGATAAAATTGGGCATATTTACTCTACAATTAACTTCCCTATTCAGACATGTTAAAATTATTTACAGATATTCCCCATGCATGCACGTTGTAAAGATATATCTATATATTTTTTTTTATAGAACAGCACAGACCTCTCTAATGTAAACATTTGTCAAGGTTGGGGCAACCATGATAAGAGTCTTTGTCCATTCCTTCAAACAGTCTGCATCAACCACAGTTCTGGGTCTTTTTATTGTCCCCACTCTTTCAATGAACTCTGCAGCTTAGAATAGTATTTAGATCCAGGAAAGATGACAATTATTGGATCTAGTAAACAACTTGTATGTTAACGTTATTTCTTTAAAGTATTGTTCAGATACGGGGCAGTCGTGGGTGAGCGGTTAGGGTGTCAGACTTGGATCCCAAAGGTTACCGGTTCGACTCCCGACCCGCCAGGTTGGTGGGGGGAGTAATTAACCAGCGCTCTCCCCCATCCTCCTCCATGACTGAGGTACCCTGAGCATGGTACCGTCCTGCCACACTGCTCCCTTGGGGCGCCATTGAGGGCTGCCCCCTTGCACGGGTGAGGCATAAATGCAATTTCATGGTGTGCAGTGTTCACTTGTGTGCGCTGTGTCACAATGACAATGGGAGTTGGAGGAGTTTCCCAAAGGGCTTTCACTTTCACAGAAAGAAACCATAGGTAAACCATGTTCAATTTATTGGTAGAATTTCTCTCTAATCTTGCAGTATTGTCAGAGTTTCAGTTCTGTTTCACACCAATAAGCTTCCCCAAGCCTTGAAAGGACCATCAGGTTAAAGCATCACAGTTCCTCCAGATGGAGGACTAGACACTATACTCATTTGCACCATGTTTATTTTTCTCCCACACTGTTTACATTTGATCACTGTTGCACTGGTTGCAAGAGGGACAATCAGGAACTAGCTGTGGGTGTAGATACAGCCGAGGCGGTGAGGAAGTGTGGGCGAGTTTGTCCGACAACGGAGGAACATGAGGGCGAAAAAGAGCAGGGATCCAGATGGAAAAAGGGTCCCAGTGTTCTCGCGTACCTCGCTCTTCTACTGTAGCTGGTCCAAATTCACGAGTTGTTTTCCGCAATTGCAGTCATACAAACAAAACAAGCTGGCAAGCGGATGTAGATTTGACCAACCAGAGGCCTCATATCTGCGGTACTGTCTGCGGTCACCTACAATTTGGGAGAAGTGAAGCAGAATGTGTACAGAGGGGGTGGGGACGTTTTTGCGTTCACTGCGACACCTACGCAAACGACCTAGTTTTGAAGTATAAATCAGCCTTAACTCTAAGTCTAAACTGTGCTGGTAAAGATTCTCAGCCATCCACGTCATAGTCATTCCAAAAAAGTAAAAAAAAACAATCCACTGGACATTATTTCCAAGTTTGAAAACGTTTTCCTTTCCATCCAGGAAGCTTGTTCAATTTAAATGTCTGAAATAGCATTGAGTTTGAGGCTTTATAGAGGGGACCAAAATCAAATCCTTGTTTTGGTTTTAAAAACATGCAAATTGAACAAACGGGTCCGTCCCTCTAATGAACCCCCCTTTCAGACACATAGACATGTATCGGGTATTGCAGGCTAACAAAGAACCCAAACGATCTTCATTCCAAAGGGACGACCCCGTTCTTCCGGATCAATTTGTTTTTGGTCCTTTCTATAAAATCTTGAAATTGACACTATTTCGGACATTTGGAATTAAAAAAAAATTTCTGGCAGAGAAGCAAAACGTCTTCAAACATGGAAACAATGTCAAGTGAATTGTCTTTTAACTTTTTTGGTAAGTCTAAAGTGATAATCCATCCTTATTTCTTCCTTATTCAACAAATATTTTTGGTGTAAATTCTCACCACAAAACAGGCTTAAATTGGAAGAGGTTTTTTGAAGATGTTTTGACTCCTATGTATTTAAGCAGCATCGAGTTCCATCCTCTTAAGCACATTCCAAGTCAGATGCAAATTAAATAGTGACCCCTTGTTCTTCTGGATTGTTGGAGTCTTTTGTTGTTCATGTGCTATGTGATTGTTCCTGGTTTTCTACATCTGGTATGCTGGTTTTCAGAGGGACAATTCCAGATGTTTACATTTGTGATGGTGGGACAGAGAGGGTTCTTTTTGTGTTTTTGTATACCATACAAAGAAATTGCTGAAATAAAGACAGAATACAATAGTAGCAATGGAAACTTACCGAACACAATGTTGTTCGGCTCAAAATCTGCAGTAGCAATGTATCAATAAGCTGTTTCTCTTTTAAAAGGAAAGTTCAGTGGTTTGGGATTCAGCTGAAACAACTTTTTTTACCGATGTGAAAAAATAAATGCAATAGTGAACTTTTTTTTTTCCTAAATAAAACACAAGAGATTAATATATGTCAGGGTTTTTCATATTTCTACCAGTAGTAGGCAGCACAATTCAAAGAGTCTTAGCATCTACTTTGTCCAATGATTTTCTTTAAATGTTTAATGTGGTTTCACACTGTAATGCTTCAGGGAGTTTGTTGCATAATACACCTATTCTATTGATTATGTAAAACAGCTGCTAATGGTCTGAGAGGAAGCTAAATTAAACAATGGTTTAGGACATTCCAGAGAGATGATTTCACCAAACCGTGCAATACTAGTGAAAAGGGTACCCCTTTTATTTGTTCACTTAATAAGTTCCCAACAGGAATGTGTTCTATATTTACACAGGTTTCTAAAACAAAATAGTCTAATAGGCATCCCAGAGACTGTTTGTACTCTGATGGGAAAAAAAAAAAAAAACATGAGTCAAGGAAACCAAAGGTTTAGGTGCAGACATTAAACCTTTTTCTCTTCAGGGAGACAGACACTGGTGTATATAACAGGAAAATGTCACTGCTGTGAAGTAGAGATCACAGAGTGAAAGAAATGAGACAAGAGAATGTGAGGCAGGAAGTAAGAGGCCAGAAAGGGAGAAGAACTCCTAAAAAGTTTCCCTCAGTTGTATTTCTGCACAGGCTCACAAAGCAGAAAAGAACAAATCAGATAAACTCAAACCATGCAAACATTGCAGGAGAAAATGCTCAGCTGAACTTGTAGTACTGAAAGGTTAGATGCAGGGAGCATCTTCATGATGAAGGGGTAGCAGAAGAGAAAACACAATAGCTTTACTTTTGATATATTCCCTCAAGAAACATTAAAAAAAGGGAAAAAAGCTAAGTGATGCAACCTAATTAAAGCATCCTTACAAACACAGGCAAAGTTTAAAGAAAATCTAACCAAACCCCCCAAAAAACAATCCTTCATGAACTGCAGGTGAAGAACCCCTAATTATATGTAAACTTTTGGGGCTTCACTTATTTTCTGCAAACACATTATGATGTGGAGCATGCCCTACATTTAAATCAAAGCATCGAATATGCAGAGCTGGTCTCAGAAGTTTTTGGAAATGTATTAAAATTAGTGACTTTAACCGAAAAAATTTTGCATATTGTCCCTTTAAGTCTCTCCAGCCTGAGATCTCTTCTGTGAGCGAGTGTGTGAATTCAGATATTAGTTAAGGTTCCTTTAAATCACAGTCATAATCGGGGGGCTTGGGGGTGGATAAGTAATGATAAGTGCTGATAAGTCAAAATTATTTATATATATATATATATATATATATATATATATATATATATATATATATATATATATATCATCAAGTAAGGAATCTAAAAATGTGATTTTATATATCCAAGCTCCTAATAAGTGTAAAACTAACCAAAATGTTTATATCAGGATCAGTATATATGCAGTTTGTCCACATATGGTGGCTTTTTTTTCTTTTCTTTTTTTTATAGTCCTTTATAGTCATTCTACAGGGTTATTTCACAGCGTGTTTATTTAGGTATTTAAAAAATTTGTTATATAAAAAAATACTTGTATCCCACCAATTGTATAATCAAAATTTCGTCCATGCTTTAAAAGTAAAGTTTATCTAATTGATCAAAGAAATCTCAGCTGTTTTGCATTCAGTTATTCCATGTTTAGTCCAATGACCAACTCCAAATAAATCTCCAGCCAACCTAAGATTTCATGATGACATATTTTCAGCTGACTTCTCCTACTTTGTTTTCGCATGACTGGCTTATCAGTAGATGATCTGCAGATAAGTGCAGACGAAAGCATTTTTGTGCCAGCCATTTGCACAGTTTCTGTGCAGTTGCCTTTGTGTAAAACCCGACACATGAAAAAAGGACAGGACGAGAAAGCATTCAGTTCAATGGAATTTTTTTCTCCCACCCCAAGAGAGTTCCTTACTGATAGAAATGTCCCTGAAATATCTGTCAGCCATGATAAGAGCTGATTCCTGTGCTCCCTTTGTTATCTGTAAAAGCGACAGATACAATAGACCATTGTTAATGGATGGAAAAGAGATAATGTCAACGCAGAACTCCATATGCCCAGAGAAGTTGAAGCAATGGTTGATTATTGTTTAACTGTTGCACATATTAGAATTAGGATAAACAAGTTGATTACATGAAAAAGACCAACTTTTCTCAAAGTGGCTTAGTTTTACTTCCAGTAACATTTTATATTCCCTTGATAACTTAAAATTAGTTTTAGGGAAATTTTTTACAAACTCTTGGGGGTAATAGGTTTGAGGATTCTGTGGAGAAAGTAAAACCTGTTTGTGGTATTTTTAAAGGTGATAGCTTGTACCTGCCACTTACAGTGTGGCCTGCAACCTAGACCTAACATTTAACTTACCATTTCAGAAGAAAGGCAGCAACCTCTGTGTGGCTTCTCAGCCATTTGGCCTTCTTAAGCGAGGACCAATGCTCAAAGCTTGTCTGATATCCACCCTTGCTTTGCTTCCAATTTATTATTTTTTTTCTTAAATCGGATAAATGTAATGGCATGAACA